AACTGGAAAGAAATGCATATTTTTACATTTTGGACGTATTATATGTTGAATTTAGTTTTTAAAAAGTAAAAAAAAAAGATGCCGCCAAGTGTGACATTATAATATGACTGCTGCAGTGTCCATAGACTTAGGCTCAAAGTCTAGTGTTACTGCGGCTTTACTACGGATGAGAGAAATTGCAATGAGCAAAATGGTGGCTCTAGGAAGTACCGCCTTCTAATAAAATAGCCAATCTCCAGTTGGTAAAATCATCACATCATTGCAGCTGCTGTTCGCTTCCCCTGGAAACATTTAAGGGGCAGTCCGCCTTGTTGTTCCACTGAATTCCATTCATACATATGCAAATGCTGAAGACTGTAAACACAAGCTCATATGAAGAATGCATTTCACTGCATTCTAAATTTCAAGTTTGGTGAACTCTGACCTGTGAATTTGTATCACTTGAAGACGATAAATCACAGCGTGACCTGAATTAAAGAACGCCAACTTTAAAGCTGCATTGTTAATATACTGTATATATATATATTTTTTTTTTACATTTTTTATTTATTATTTGTTATTTGTTATATGTTGAATTTGTTTTTAAAAAAGATGCTTCAGAGTGTGACATCATATCATGCCCACTGCTGTGTCTGAAGAAATTTTGCATGCTCAAAGTTAGGGGTATAACGGTTCAGATTGCTCATAGTTCGGTTCACGGTTTTAGGATCACGGTTCGGTACGGTTCAGTTCGGTATGTGCTATGTTCAGGGAAAAAAGGACTATGGTGAAATAAAAATAAAGAAAATAATAGCAAATAATCAAACTAAATGCAACAGCACAAATAAATACAATAGAGCAAAGTTACAAATAAACAGTGTTTTTTCAGGTGTTTCAGGTGTTTAACAGTAATTTCCAGGCACAGAAATTTAAAAGTAAACAAACGTAAAATAACGGTGCATATTTCAGTGTATAAATTAAAGACCAATCCTTGCTGAAGTTACAAAAGCTATTCAATCAAGAGAAGTGAGTGATTTCGTCTTTTGTTGTTTAACATTAAAAACACAGACAGCAGGAATAGACTGCTGTTCCATTAAGACATAATTCACAGATTCAGTACACTGATACTGATACACATGCGTTGTCTTTCTCGACTATTTACGTTCACTTAAGACATGACCAACGATGTTTGCAAGGATACTCACAAAGACGGGCATGCTGACATATTTTTGTGTAAGTTATCTATATTTGAAATCTATATTTGCGTGGCACGCGCTCTGACGAGGCTCTCCATGTGTGCATGCGCTACGGATGAGTGCTCACACACACACATCTTCAAACAGCGCGCGCAAGTTCTCAAGCGCTTATTCTTTGTTTGAATGTTTCAACTGACAAGGCTTAAAAACACGTGCAAATGAGTTTAGTTTAAACACAGATAGTGTGTGCTGTTCATGTCTCACATGCGCTTGCGCACTTTCAACACCCGGGTGACGAAGGTGTAAATGACTGGTATACTAGCATGCATACGGCATTCCGTGTTGTTTGTCCACTTTTTTGATCATTGCTGTTGGAATGTTGAAACCATATTCAATGGTCAACCTCAAGTGGGCCAGTGTGAGGGCGAGGGCGGGGGCGGACCGCAGTACGTACCAAGAGTAGTTTTTCGGCTCGGTTTGAATATCATTACACCCCTACTAAAAGACTACTGTGACTGCACCTTCATTGTCCTGAGACTTGTAATTAGGACTGCACATGCATGATGGATGGACCAACCTAAAATACTGTATGTGTTTTGATCAAGCTATTTGATCAAGAATATAAAAACAAAAACAACATTTAGGAGACAGTTAATGTCAGAATGTATTGCTGATTTGAGATATATTATTGAAATGAGAGTTTGGCAAGCAATTTTTGAGATGTTGGTAGTTCCCCAATCAAGTAGATAGGAGTTGGTTTTGTAAGACCAAAGCAGCTGCCCAGAGGTGTTACCATTATGGCTGACTGACTTTCCCTGAAATAACTTTTTGCCTTGTCTATTAAGCAACCATCCAGAACACTCTAACAAACCCACAATGCGCTAAAATCACACAGAACACCTTAACAACCACATAGTAACCTCCTGCTATATATAGGATGTGTTCACACTTGTCATGTTTGGTTCGAATTAAAACGAACTCTGGTGCGATTGCTCTGTTAGTGAGGTTTGTTTGAGTAAGTGTGAACGCTGCCATCCGAACCCTGGTGCGCACCAAACAAGCGGACCGAGACTGCTAAAAAGATGGGTCTCGGTCTGCTTCCAAACGAACTCTGGTGCGGTTCGAATGAAATATGAACGCAACACAGACCAAATACTTCTAAACGAACCAAAAACAGGAAGTAATGACAAGATGCGATGCTATGCGACATTTGACGACACGGTGTAACCAAATCAAAATGAGCAGAGGAAAATGCCAATATGAACGCTAAGCGGACCAGGACCAAATGTATCATTTTCCTTTTTGGTCCGGACCAAATGAACCAAAAGAACCGAACTACAAGTGTGAACACACCCATAGACAACACACTACCATCTTATTCATATGATTTTCCCTTCCAGGGGCTCTTAATTTTACAGTCACTGCTACTGAATAACAGAATCAGTGAGTTCAGAATCATTCAGACTGGTTTTGTTAATCGGATCAACCTTTTGATTAAAAATATATTGAAAAAAAAAAACGTTTTCAAGAAATACATCTATTACTTCACTGAACAATCATAATTTGCATCAGACTCCTATAGACTCCAAACAAACAAACAAACAAATAAATAAATAAATTTTTTTAACGCATTAATTTAATTCTAAAGGTATATAATGAAAAATAAGCCTCTATAGAGGAAAAGATTGTGTGCAAACAAAAAGCACTGTTAATTCACTGTTGTATCTCTGCAGTATGACAAAAAAGGTTTGACAAGGTCAAGGTTTAAGCTTAAACCCTATGAGAGACCTATAGTACAGAAGGAGTCAGGCCTTAGATGGCCTTAGCTAGACCTTAGATAGTCTCGAGTAGCCAGACCTTCAGACTGACAGCAGAACCTTGGGCACTTTGAATGGCCAAGGACCACCCAAGAGGCCATTTGACTGACAGGTAAAGCAACCAATCATGTTTTGTTTTGTGCGTCATGTTTAGGGGCGTGGAGATGTCCCCACAATAACAGACTCTTGGTCTAAAACTCTAAAAAGAGTGTAAAACTCTTGGACGTATTTAAAAGAGTCTACACTGCGAACTTTAGATATTTCACATACTTTTGAAAATGCAGCATTTAGTTAATCCTGATAAGCGCTCATTGTCACAGTTGTAAACACGACAGCTTTCTTCTTCAATGAGGGGGTTTGGCAACAAGGCATCTTTGTTTCCATGCGGAACGTTAAAGAACACACATCTCCCAGAAATCCTGTACATTTCAACCAATCCGATGACGACTTAGAAACTCCTGAAGTGTTTCCAATTGTGTGTGCACATTCAGCCAAAGGTCCGTTGGCATGACGTCTGAGGCTGAGACTAGACCTTAGATGACTGCACTCTTGTGATCAAACTCCAAACTGCCACACTTAAAGTATACTGAGACTTTAAACTTTAAGTTTTTAACCTAGAATACACAACAAATGAATATATACAGAAGAACACATCAACATTTTTCCCCTGATCTCTTTATAAAATTATACAAGGGGCAATCAAGATAAGATGATGTTTCTCTCACTCTCACAGGTAACTTGCATGGAATTATACTGTATTATTATGACATTATTATTTAATATTAAGTATCATAAAATCCTAATAATAATAATAGTCACATCGGAAGCATGCTTATGATCATAAAGATACAACATGGGTGTGCACATTCATAAGCCAAAATGGGCTCAGGTGCAGGACAACAAAACAATAAAAAAATGAAAATAGAACATGTCCACACTGAAATTTCAGCTCCGAAAAGTTTATTTGCAATGTTTGTACATATGATTGTGCCTGATAAAGACCTGCCTGGTCAAAACGTTGTGCTTTTTTGTAAATAACTTTTTAGAACTTTAATTTAAGCATGCTTATGTCTAAAAAAAATTCCTAGATAGGCAAGTGACTAGGTTTTGGAAAATAAAACAACATCCCATTTATTTTCTAGTCACTTTGAAGTGAGCTCAAAAAATGGAAATTGTCACAAGACCTTAGCAGCAATCGCTGACTCTTATGAAGCACCGCAAATGATGTAACAGAGTTGGTTTAGAATTAGAATAGAGAGTGCTAGAGTTAGAGGGTCAAATAAAGATGGTAGAGATGTGTTTTTAGCTGATTCTTGAAGATGGCTAAGGACTCAGCTGCTCGGATTGAGTTGGGCAGGTCATTCCACCAGGAGGGAACATTTAATTTAAAAGTCCGTAAAAGTGATTTTGTGCTTCTTTGGGATGGCACAATAAAGCGACGTTCACTTGCAGAACGCAAGCTTCTAGAGGGCACATAAGTCTGAAGTAATGAATTTAGGTAACGGGGTGCAGAGCCAGTGGTTGTTTTGTAGGCAAACATCAATGCCTTGAATTTAATGCGCGCAGCTATTGGTAGTCAGTGCAAATTGATGAACAGAGGTGTGACGTGCATTCTTTTTGGCTATTTAAAAACTAATCTTGCTGCTGCGTTCTAGATTAATTGTAAAGGTTTCATAGAACTGGGTGGAAGATCTGCCAAGAGAGCATTGCAATAGTCCAGCCTGGACAGAACATGAGCTTGTACATGGTGTTGTGATGTATGTTCCGAAAGAAAGGGCCTGATCTTTTTGATGTTGAATAAAGCAAATCAAATAAAAGTAGTACGAGTGTTAACACTATGATATTAGAGTCTATGAATGTTTGGCACAAAGATATGTTACTGTTCAAGTCTCAGTGTTTAATATTAAGCATTAATATTAATATTAGTTTGAAATATCAGCCAATGATTATGATAGTGTGTGTGTATTTGTGTGTGTGTGTGTGTGTGTGTGTCTGTCATTGCTCAAACCTGTGATGTCAGCGGTAAAGTCTGTGTGGGAGCTGTTGGGGGTGATGGAGCTCTTCGTTTCTTTAATTCCACTTTTGGGGACATCTTGGAGATGTTCATCACAGACTGAGACTGACCCAGAGTGCTGGGATGGGTCTCCACACATGGACCGCTTGCCACCACCGACATACCCTGAGCAAAAAACAAAGAGAGACACTTTAATAGAAATACAAATACACATTTAAGAACATATTCAAAAGGCATACATGAATGAGTGTGTTTACACACACACACACTCATTTGTATTGTATTTATTGTCAGTCATTATGCAGAGTACAAGTACAGAGCCACTGAAATGCAGTTAGCTGAAATGCATCTAACCAGAAGTACAAATAGCAATATGTATGTGTGTGTGTGTGTGTATATATATATATATATATATATATAAATATATATATATATGG